TTTTCAATCACATATCAATATGGTATTTATCTGCATTTGTTAGTAAAGTGTTGAAGAGCAAACCAGAGTTGAGGAGCAAACCAGTCCAAGCAAATGGTGTTCTTTCCCCAAGAAGTCTTTGCTAAACTAGTGTGTACTGAATTATTCCATAGACTACGCATTGTACAAGTATACTAAGGACTGAACTATAGAATGAATAGGAGAAACTAAACAAAAAATCATGCACTAGTGAAAGATATGGATTTGTTGGTCGTGATTGACCGTTGACGTTGATTCGTATTCAAGGCAGCCTTCAAAACGTGCATTCAGTGCGTATCACGCGGTCGTCAATGTGTTAACTAATAGGTATAACCTTGGTGATAAGTGTAAAGTCTTGTCGAGCTGCAAAGTGGCACAAATGAGCTACTCCAGGTAAGGCACCCGCAGGTTTTCACAAGGTGTTCTGTGTTCAGTCAGTACCATTTGGCGCCCCAACCAAACCAATTGCACCCTAAAGGATAGAGCTATAAATTCTCCCCCGTTCATTATTCCTTTTTGGCATGCGGCACGCGTCCTACTTCCACAGAGTCGTAAAGGCCCAATACATATATTGTGGGGGCCAGCCGTACAATCAGTGTTTTTATCCTCCCATACGAATCCGGTTCCAATTCACTGGAAGTTAATGGCTTGGCTGGCGTGGGAGCTGATTCGGGATTTGACCTGCGGACCGTACGCGTGGTAAGTCTGCCACTTGCCATTACATCAGTCTGATTCAACTGTATCACTAAAGGGAACAAACTAGAAAACTGCGCCACACACACTCAAAACAGATACTTCCAAAAGTCAAATGTGGATTGCAAGTTATCCTTCAACGAACTGAGTATAGGATCTAAGTACAGCTAGATGTGCGACTTACTTTGAATGGAGCAACATCCCGTATAAGCTTTTCAATTGCCTCCACGCTTTGATCAGCAGCAGGTGTCGCCTTCAGATATTTAGTAGTCTGAATTAAAGGGAGTAAAATAGTCACAAGCGACCAGAACATAAATCAGAGCACATTAGAAAGACAATGGCTAGTCCTGTACACCTGACCATCCTAACATCACAAGCATTCAAGACCGCGATAAACAGTCTCTTTTCTAATACACATCTAGGCATAATAAGAGAGCAGTCCATTAGGATATCGTTTCGCTCGAAAAAATCGGTTCATCCACTCCTGAGCTCTCTCCCTAGGTCTAGGGGAAAATCCTCATACGCTGGCTATCGCAGTCATGATCCCTCCAAGTGATAGGGCGTGTGACGCAGCGTGAACTTAAAGACAGCTCCCGCGATAAAAGTGTCATGGATAGTTGCTTTTCAATTATGAAACAGTAGCTGATAAGTAATTCCCCAAAGAAGAAAAAGCAAGAGTCCTCAAGAACACCATAAACAAAATCGCTCCCTGACAGTCACACAGTCCCTTTTTCGCA